CAATAACTGCGAGTCTGGGCTTTAATTGTTCTTATAGCCATTAAATATCCCCGCCGCTGGCACTAACAGCCCCCTCTCCCCTCAGTGCCACACTTAGTGCCCTTCAGATGTCCAAGGGCCGCCTCCCTGATCCCTCGGTTGCCCCTGCCGGGCACTGAGCGCCCTCGCCCGGCGGAAAAGAGGGTGAGGGGGCGGGGACTTGGCCACGTCAAGAGTTTGCCCTCGCTCGCCCGGCTGGGCCGAATGGGAACCCTGGCCCCGGGACAGCGCCAGCCGCGGCGACTCCCGGAAACCGCCCCCTCCTCCGCGCCCCGCCCGCGGCCCGCCCGGCCGGCCGGCGGGCCGGCCCAGCCGGCTCTGTCAGCGCCGCTCACACGGGGAGCGCTGGGGAAGCGGGAGCGGCGCCCGGCCCGACCCCTTCCCCGCCTGGCGGCTGTGGCTGGGCCAGGGCGGGGCACACTTTTCTAAGAATCTGTTGTACTGGGTGGGGGGCGCACTGAGATGCTGCAGGAGTGGGGCGCCAGTTTGTAAGAATAAAGAGCAGGAAGGGGTGCCAGAATAGGCGAGGGAAGGCAGGCGCGGAGGAGGGGCCCGAGTGGCTGCCGGGGACCAAGGGAGTGGGGGGCAGGGCCGGGAAGGAGGGCCTGGCTTGCGGATGGTGGGGCGCGGGGTGGCAGGGCTGACTGGGGGGCTTGAAGCTGGACGAAGAGGCATGCAGTGCTCTTTCCAACCCAGCGTGAGCTCCCTGCTCTTGCGCCCAACCCCAAAAACCCCGTTTCTAATCCAGCCATCCCTGCACTCAAAACGAAAAAAGGGAGAGAGATTTCTGAATCAGAATCTGGCCAGTGGCAAAAAAAAAAAAAAAATCAATTAAGTGCAAAATGAGGTGCACCTCAAAAACAAGGGGAATAGAGCCCTGATTAGTCAACTCCAGGCTGTCAGTCCCCACCCACCTACCCTTCCCCCTCTGAAATCTGAAAGGTCCCAATTAAGTCAGGCCTGCCTGGTTGGTAATTAGAACCAGAAGTGGCCAGGCCACAGGGAGGGGGGGTGGGAGTGGGGCACAGGAGTGGGGGGAGGGCTCCAGGAAGTCATGAGTCCTGAATAGCCCCCCTTTTCTCTTCACCAGATGTACCCCACTCCTCAACACCCCATCTGTGTGTGCTTCCCAGGCATTGCAGGGAGAGGAGGGGGCCTTATAAGGGACAAGGATTAGGGTGTCAGACCTACCCTTCCCATCAACCCCAACCCCCATTCTAGATAGTCTTAGTATGGCCTTGTGGAGAAGGTAAGAGAATGGGGGAATCTAGTGCCCCCTCTTTTCCCCAAAGTCTCCCCAGCCCTTATTGCAGCAATTAGACCCATTAGCCTTCTAGCATTTCATGGGAAACAGATGTTCTCCACCAGCCTGGTGGGAGTATAAGGGGGGGGCTGCTGCCTGACTCACACCCTTCCCTATGATCCCCACCACCACAGTGGCACACTCCTCCCAGCTAGACCCCCACAGAGGCATGGCCCCAGAGGCAAAGAGAAGGGCACCCCTCCCCCACTAACCAGGCCATTAGCACTCAGAGTCTTGCATGGTCACCCCTCAGAGCCTCTACCACCCTGGCAAGCATGAGTTTGGCCAACGAGGGACTATGGAGGGAGAGACAGCTAACTCCTTTTGCACCCCTCCTTTCCCCCTTCCTGCCACCTTCTGGATGGGGCTTGAGGATAACTGCTTCTAAATTCCTCATGCTAAATTCGCCTTTTCTTTCAAAACCTTTCCTCAAAAAACTGAAGAGAGGGCATCTCAAAGCAAAGAAGTCCCAGCCCCAAGAGAAAGTCCTAACTTAGAAGTCCCACCTAAAGGGTAATGGGAGGGGTCTCTGGAGGAGGAGGCTGCAGAAGAGTGGGGGGAACAGAGGTGTGAATGAGGGCCGAGGCCCAAAGTAGGGATATGAGGAGCGCTGGCAGGATGGGGGCTGGGACTGGGTAGGGGGCCAAGAGGGGGGGTGCAGCCTAGGCCCCAGCGGCGGCGGCTTGCCCAGCTCCCCCCGCCAGAGAGGTTTCCTGTTGCAATCAAAGCCCCATTTGTGTCGGCCTGGAGCTGGATCCCCAGCCTGAGCAGGAGAGACCAGGAGGGGAGGGGAAGGAGGCAGTCGGCTGGGGTTTTTTCCTGGAGGAGGCCTCCCTGCCTCCTGCTTGCCACCCTTACCCGCCTGCTTATTCTTGCCTCTCCCAGCATCTGGGTTCTCTGCATCTGTGCCTTTTGGCCTGTGTATTCTCTCATCTTGCTTAGGTCTCTGAGTCTCTCTTTTTCAGTTTAATTAGAACTCTATTACTTCCTGTGACAATCTGCCCTCTGTTTCTCCATGTGACATAGTATGATACAGTCTGGGCTCCTTACCCCAGGGACACTGTCACCAAATTTAGAGGACAAACATAGCTAGGTCTTCAGAACCACAGGTATCACCTCAAGAGGAGGAAGAGGGCAAGGCTTCCCTTCCTTCCTATCACACTCTGTTCCCTGCAGTCTTGATAAAGCAAACATACAACACAGTGGGGACACAGACACCAGGGTTTGATGCACATTTGTGAGCAAACATACCCCTTCTGCTTTCCCATGCACACAGGCCTGTGCTTGCCTTGGCAGCACATGCTCCCCTTCCTTCTCCCCTCCTGTACCACAGAGCTCTAAGATGCCTGCCTCACCAACTCAGGCCTCTGGAGAACCCCAAGAGATGAAACAAGACTTCCCTTATCAATAAGATGTCTCCAAGGTGTTAGGGACCCAGCATAAGATCCAGGAGCTAGCCCCAGGGAGAAGTTCCAGACTCCTTCATGAGCCACCCTCCCTCCCATAGCCTAAGAGACAGGGAGTGAAGAGAAAGACTAAAGGTGAATGTAACTTTGGCATCAGACTTCGGCCTCCGATCCCTCTCCATTAGATGGCCCCTACCAAAAAGAGACTATGGGTCAGAGAAATGACAGACCACACTCTTACCCTTCAGCTGATCTCCCACTATGGGAGATTTCCTAGACTACAGGATCCCTTCCCCTCCCCTCTGCCACCCTCTCATTTACCCTAGGTGCTGCATGCCCTACTCCCATGCAAGCTGTCTGAACCCAAGCCTTCACCTCCTCCCTACCCCACCACTGCCTCTCTGCCCAGGCCTGTCCCCTGCTGCCAGCCGCACCCTCCCCAGCTACTTGCCCTGGTTCTGGCTCCTCCCTTGGGTTTTTCCTTTCAGTACCCCTCCTCAGGGCAGCCTTTGGGGATAGAGCCCAGTCTGACCCCTTCCCCTACCTTGACCTCACTTTGAACCTTGACCTTGATCTCCAGGTCACCGGGGCACAAGGAGAATTTCACTGGGGACTGGCTAGGACTCTCAGCATTCTCCCTACTACCAGTGTTTCTCCTCTCCCTCCTTACTCCTGCCTCTTTAGTTGCCTCTCCCAGAACCTGGGAAAATCAAGTCCCAAGGGACTGAGCTGTATGGTTCTCTGTAAGAAGTACATTCATGTAGGAAGGGTGGTTCCTTCCCACCTTCTCAGGCCTTGGGACAGATTCATGGGCTGTAAATGAGGTAGGGGAAGCCCAGCTGAGGTTTCCAAAAAGGGGAGCTTTGTGCTTTCTTGTTCACCTGCACACCACCCAAATAACCCCTGTTGGACTACAGACTTGCCACTGGCAGGCCTCACCAAACACCAGACACACCGTCAGCAGGCCTATTAAATCCGGCCTCACTCCTCACACTGACTCTTTGTTGCACACACTGGAATTCTGTATCTGAGCAGAGTCTGAGGGACATGCTGTGCACACACAACTGCATATGGTCTTCACACATATACACACACATGCCTTTTCCAGATGAGCACACTCTTTCCAGTAGAGCTGCCAACCCTGTCTAGTCACCCCTTTACACATACACACAACCCTCCAATTGCCCCCTCCTGAAGGCATGGCCTCTTCTCTCCCACCTCACTCTCTCTTCCCCAGCTTGTAGAGCTATAAAAGATGTTTTTATCTTTTTGTCTTTTCCTCTTGTCTCTGTTTCTGTGTCTCTGGCATTGCTCCTCTCTCTGTCTCTCTTTCCATCACCTCCCCTTCTTTCCAGGTGAGGCCTTCTCTATATCGGCACACATGCTGACCCTTTAACCTACAAAGTTCAACATCCCAGCCCTGCAGCTCTTAGGCACCCACTCCTATAATGACCTGGTCAGGAAGAACAACTACCAAGTGAGAGGAGAGGGGATCCAGAGGAAAAAGGAGAGGCCTAAGGCTTGCCTGCTGTCAGCACTCAAAGGCTTAACCCAAAGAGGGCAAGCCTGAGGAACAAGTAGGGATCTGCACAGCATGTGGGCACTAAGCCAGACCTAGAGGGAGGGGAGGAGTCCAGAATCCACATGGCTGGAAGACAGGATGCTTCTGGAACACCCCCTCCACCTCACTGGATTACTTCTGGTGAAGAAGCACCTTTGTGACTATTTCCACCCTTTCCAGAACCAACAGGAGAGTTTCCTGACCTCACACATCTTTGGGCATCTGGCACTAGATTCCATTCCTCTTCTTGTAGCCTTCCCTAATTCAAAACAGTTTCACCTCTTGATCACAGTCAGCTGACTGGCCTCCCAGACTCCCCTACTTCCCAGCCTGGCTCCCCACACACCCCACTACGTGTTGGTAGCAGCCTCAAACTTCAGCAGAAGCCCCCTTGGCTGTGTACAAAGGTGTTTTCCCCTGCAAGTTGACTCACTCAAGAGGCAATGTTAGACCCCCAAAATTTAGGCATTCTACGTTCCCATCCTATTTGGGCAGGAGGACTCTCACTTGCAAACACTTCCATTTGCTCCACATCCAAACTCCCTCTGAGTCACTCCTGTCAGCTATCCATTAGATCAAACCCTCATCCCTGTCTGCCTTCCTAACTAGGATGCCAATTTTCTTTATCACCCACCCTCCAAATGTCCTCCTGTTTCCACTTTCCCTCATCCCCAGTATCCATGAGACTCACACAGAGAGGCCATCTCCTTGGGAAGGTCAGGCTGGCCCAGGCCCCGGAAGCTAGGGCTCAGCATCTCGAAAGGTGGAGACCCCCTGAGTGCCCCTGGGAAGGCAAAGGGGAAACCAGCCCCAGGGTAGCCAGATCCAGGTCCCAGGGCACCAGCGGCAAAGAGTCGCTCCTTATTGGTGGCCATGGCAGCTGCAGTGTGGGAGGCTGAACCCCCTGGGCTCTGCAATGGGCGGGGGAGGTCTTCAGCCACAGCCCCCGCCCATGCCCACTGCCTAAAAGGCCTGGGAGGCTCCGTGCGCCCTTCCTGGCCTGCCCACTGGATCTCCAAGAGTCCTAGGGAGAAAAAGAAGAAAAGAAGGGGTGAGAAAATTATCACTCTGACATTCTAAGCCCATGTCCCTCTCTCAGAGGAAGTCCCTACCCTCTGTGCTGCCAGGGTTTATACTGCCCTGGCTCAGGGCCCACAGGGGAGGAGGCAGGGCAGATGCTTAGGCAGACTCAGAGAAACTCTCCAGGGAAGGATAAACTGAGTTTCCAAGGTGAGTGAGAGTCGTAGGACTCCTGGCAGAGAAGACTCCTAGGCTGAGAAGTGACCATTAAGCACCACAACTGGACTAGACACTTAATTTAACCCTCATACCAATCCTGTGAAGTAGGAATTATGATTCCCATTTCACAGATGAGAAAACTGAGGTTAAGTGAATGGCTTAAGGTCACATGGCTGTAAGTGATACAGCCGACACTCGAACTCAATACCATTCTGAAGAAAGCAAACATCTTTTTTTTTACCCTCACCCAAGGACACTTTTTTGCATTTATTGAGCGGGAGGGAGAGAGAGAGAGAGAGAAACATCGATGTGAGAGAGACACATCGAGTGGTTGCCACATGCAGGACCCCAACTGGGGCCAGGGACAAACTGCAACCAAGATACGTGCCCTTAGTGGGAACTGAACCTGGGACTCTCTGGTTCGCAGGCCAACGCTCTAACCGCTGAGCCAAACTGGCCAGGGCAGAAAGCAAACATCTTTATTGTAACTTTGGGGCCCTATAGCTCTCTGGAGAGTATAGTGCAATGGTTAGGAACACAGACTGGAGCCAGACAACCTGAAATTAATCCCCATGGTTTACTAGCTGAACTGCGGGACCTTGGGTGTGTTACTTTAAGCTCTCTGTGCCTCATTTTCCTCATTTGTCAATCGGTAATAATAATAGGGCCCACTTCATAAGGTTGTGAGGGTTAAACAATGTAACATATATAAAGTGTTTAGCATAATATAGGGCATAGAGCTAGTTATTTCTCTTTCTCCATATCTCTCTTCTAATTAGCATTTCCTTCTCTATCTTCCTCAATACTCCCTTTTCCAGTTTCCTCACCCAATTCTTTTTTTATATATATATAGTTTTTTCTTTATTGATTTTAGAGAGAGAAGAAGGGAGAAAGGGAGAGAGAGAGAGAGAGAAACATCGATGAAAGAGAACATCAATGGGCCGCCTCCTGCGTACCACCCAACTGGGGATGGGCCCACAACTGGGCATGTGCCCTGCCTAGAAATCGAACCAGGGACCTCTTGGTGCATGGGTCAACACTCAACTACTGAGCCACACTGGCCAGGCTCCCCACCCAATTCTTTCTGTCTCTAATTATCCTTCACTTCCTAACCATTCTCATACCTTTTCCTTCAAATCCCAGATTTGATGAAAGCCCCACTGTGGACTGGGTATGATGTCAGAGAGCTCCTCTCCTTATTCTCAGATTACTTTGCTTCTCCTTTTCTCTCTCCTCTCTAAGCACTCTGCTTCAAGGAAGCCGTCCCTGCATCCTCCCCTCCTCAAATGTAGCCTGACTGCTACCCTGAGATTTTTAACCTGAGACCAGAGGATGGGGAGGAGAAGAAGGGAGAGAGGACATGGGAATCCTAAGGCTAGGCAGGTAGTTTCTCTCCTGATGCTCTGACAAGGAAAACTTGTCTTTCCCAGGAGCCCCAAAACCACCCACATCTCTAAGGAGTTGGGGGCTGGGGAAGGAAAGCCTTCCCAGCCTGGGTACCTCTTCTACCAGCCAGAACCATAAAGGACTGAGGTGGAAAATGGTGAAGAAAGGACCAAGAAAAAGTGACACACCTAGAAACCACAGGGTGGGCAGGCCCAGAGGTAGGTGATGTGTATTTCTGCATCTCTTTCCTTCTGGAGTCAGTATCTCTCAGGCTGTGTACCTCTGCTTGCTTGCTTTCTTTCTTTTTAAATTTTTATTTATTGATTTTAGAGAGAGAGGAAGGAGAGAAGGAGAAAGAAAGAGAGGGAGAGACAGAGAGACAGAATATTGATTTGTTGTTCCACTTATTTATGCATTCATTGGTTGATTCTAGTATGTGCCCTGACTGGAATTGAACCCCGCAACCTTGGTGTACCAGGACAACACTCTAACCAACTGAACTACGCAGCCAGGACCTCTTTCTTTCTCTTCTCTCTCTCACATCCTTTGGCCTTCAAGCTCCTGAGGGTAAATTGTCATGGAGGTTACAGGAACTCAGACCCCAACACCACCACCCTTCACTCAATCCCAAAGCATGAAGCTGCCACTTTAGACATTACCTATACCCCCAGCAGCCTCAGTCTCTTCAGCCCAGTGTCTCTCCCCAGGCTCAAAAAATCTGAGCTTGGAGTCCCTAGGGTTCCTCTCCTCTTCCTTCCCCTATTCCCAGAGATCCTCATCCCTGGTTAAACTCAGGTAGAGCCAGGAGTCCGGGGCCCCTGAGGCCCCTGGGCCATAGCTCAACAGGCTGGGCCACATTCCAGGTGGATTAACCTCTCTAATGCCAAGGGTGAGAAGCTACTAGAGCCAACCCCCACCCCATCTTCTTCACTCAGACTAATTTAGATTGGGGACATGGCCATGCTCTGTGCCCCAGGCCTCACTGTCTGCTTCTCACCTACAGATGGTAAACAGAGACCTGAGGGTGGAGCAGGAAGAATTGGTGTGTGTGTGTATGTGTGAAGGGGCCAGAGTCCCAGAGAGGGATGCCTCTGACTCCTGGTCCTTACTGAGGAATGAAGCTATAAGGAGTGAAGAACAGCCCAGCTCTACCTGACCTTCCTTCTATTTTGCCTCAGAGAAGGGACTTGAGAGTTGAGTGAAGGCAAGAAGGATACAGAAATTCATCCCACTTCTGAGCCTTGGTTTCTCTACCTTGGCTGGGAAGGGAAGGGGAGGGTCTTAAGTCCAAGGTGGAGGAAGGGACCAAGGAATGGAAGACAGTGGTACAGAGAGTAAAAGGAAATCCTAAACTAGGGACCCAGATGCCTTAGTTCTTTGGGGAACCTGTGGAAGGGAGAGAACACTTCTCCCAAAATGCCACCTCAGACAGAGGTGGGGCTGACTAGGGGAAAGGGGCCTATACAAAGCTGCTTCTCTTAGAGCTGAGGTGGAGTTGGGGGGGGGGCATGGACGAAGGGGGCTGCCGGATGGAGGGGGGGAGCGTCTCCCTGCTGCCCTACCGGCTCCAGAGTCTGAAACAAAGCTGCTCTTGTCAGCTGCTCTCCACCCGCTGCCCCCCTCCCCTCTGTATAAACACGACCACCTTTTTCCATGACCCCATCCCCAGCCTGGGCGGAGAACCCAGGCATCCTCTGCTCTAGCCTGGGCCCCCAGCCTGCTCCCCAGGAGGCAGCAGTGGGCTGGGTTTCCCTGGCTTTTTGCCATCCTTGGGGGAGTCCAGACCCTTGAGTCTCCACCTCTCATCCCCAGGTGCCCTCCCTCCACCCCACTGGCCCCAGGGAGGGGCAGTGCCCAGGAGGCAGGCAGGCAGGCAGTGCCAGTGGAATGTGTGTGGGCAACGGAGGGCACGGACAGGGTGGGGCAGAGGGGGGAACTGGAGGTGCCAGTTAGGTGGCTTTCTGAGCCAGGGGTGGGGGTGTGCCGGGTGGGGGTGTGTGCCCTGTGCTGCCTACCAGGCTATAAGCCGCAGTGTGTGTGTGTGTGTGTGTGTGTGTGTGTGTGTGTGTGTGTCTAATTGGGATACCCAAGCTCCAAGCACAGTACTGCCTGCCCCCTCTCTTCTTGCCTTAAGAATATGAGACACTAACTGTGGTCCTCAACCCCAACTCAGCATCTGAGGAGTGACAGTAAAGGCAGGAGCCTCAGACTTGAGGACTGGGATTGCAACTGTCTGGACATGGGCCCTGAAGGGGCTCAATCATCTCAGCTTCTTCCCCTACAGACCCCTCCTTGGGCTCCCCTGTACCCCACCCACCCACCCAACCATGCACATTCTTACCCTCTGGCCACCTGCAGATTCCCTCTTACATACTGGGTCAGGTTGAGGGGACTGGGCTGTAACTGCTAAAGACAGAGAAGCAGAGTCAATGGGGATCCCACTAGGACGCCTGGGTCCCTGCCCCAGTCACTGTTCTTCCTTTGGGCTCCCCTCAAGAATACACCCAAGAAGTCCCTCACCTTAGCTAGAGGGAGCCCAGACTTACACCCCTGGCTGGGGATATGAGAAAGGGAATCCTAGATTGTGGTTCAAGGAAGCTTCATAGACCCCTATCCCATCCACTTGTCATCCTGGACCCAGAGGGACAGGATCACTCTGGTGAGGACCCTTTCCTTGCCCTGCTGATGTCCAAGTTGTGCCATTCCACTGGGGAAGGAGCAACTCGGACAAGCTTGGACCAAAAATCCACCCCTCGCACTCCCTACGGGAAGCCGTAGGGAGGGCAGGCAGTGGTCTTTATCCACAGGCGAACACTGTCTTCCCTCACACTCCCAAGCACAAAAGTAGGCTAGAAGCCCCCTGGCTGAAGACTTCCCCAAATGCTCTGCCGCTACTCACCAAGATGAAGGGGCGATAAATCCCAGCCCAGCCCCAGCTTGTCTCAAATCTTCCCCATTCCCTTCCCACATCAGGGCTGACCCCCAAGTCGGGGCAGGAAGCTCCCCTCAAGCCCTCTGACAGCCTCACCAGCCCTGGAAGGGACAGAGCCGGCATCGCTTCTCCGCGCCCCCGCCCCCAGCCCACCTCACTGGAGGAACCAGGCGTCCTGGGCGGGCGAGCCTGTTCCCCCGACTGACTCACCTGGAAGGGAAGGGAGGAGGAAGGGAGGCCACGGAGCCCTGAGGTCCCGGCGTCGGGCGGTCTCGGGGTTGGAGCGTCGTAGTGTCAGAGGCTCACGGTAATGGGGGGCTCTTGGGGGGGCACCGGCTCTAGGCTGGGACTGTCCCGGGGCCTCTTGGAGCCCGCCCGCCCACGTGATCGCCCCAAAATATCCGACACATTTTCTCCCAAACCGCACACTGACTCTGCAGGCGGGGACACGGAAAATATTTTCTTTCTTTTTCTCCCTCCCCACCCCCCCACCTCCCTCCCAGCCCGGCTCCCTCCTCCCCCTCCCGCCCTCGCTCCTCCCTTCCCTGCCGCCTGCCCCTGCCCAGCTCCCTCCTTGGTGCCCTGGGGCTGGGGGGGGGGGGGGCGGAGGGTGGGTGGGAGGGGGACTGGGCGAGGCGGCCCCGGACGCCTGGGTCTCTGCCCCTCCCATTTGCTGGGTTTCCGTGGTTCCATCCCCCGGAGGCTGGGCAAGGCTGGCAGAAGAGGTCAGTGTCCTGGGCCCATGATGCCACCCTTTCTCTCTGGCACTTTCCCCCTTCCTGCCATCTGGGGGGACTGGTTGAGTTCTCTAGCCAGGCTGTGAGTCAGTGATTCAGTCTCTGTGGTACCTTCCCTGGGTAGGCAATGGGAGCTGTATCCCGGTGCTCCCAGGGGTGGAGTGCTGATGCAGGAGTAAGCAGAGCAGATGCTATAGTCTTTGCCCTTTGCTTAGCCTTCTCCTGCAGGTCAAAGTAGTTTCTACTTCCCCTTGCCTATCCCAGATGGTCCTTTGGATCCAGGAGCAAACTGATTTAAGAGCGGGAAGGGTTGGGGGTAGGCAGTGCAGAGTCCCAGGCTCAAACACCCTCCTGCCTCTCATCCTGCCTTCTTTAAGCTAGGGCAGTTAGGGGGCCTGGGTCCCTGGCTGCCAATCCCCACCTTTAGGCTTGAATCTGGAGGGGAAGAGGCTGGGGAGGAGGGCAGGAGGAACTGTGCTGGGAGTGGGAGGAGCCTTGGGCTGGGTGTGAGGGAGAAAGCCCAAGCAGAGGGTGTGTATCTGCCTTAACCAGCGCCTGCCTGCTTGGTAAATGTGCCACGAATGTGGTTGACTCTGGGTGTGTGTGTGTGTGTGTGTGTGTGTGTGTGTGTACCCATGTGTATGCTCACCCAGTCAGTGTCAGTGTCTGATGGGGACATTCTCTGACTTCATCATGACCACCACAGACTCTCAACCCTAGAGTGGGAGGAAATCCAGAGCATCAGTCTCCATTCTACTGAGGACAGAGCAAGAGAAAAGAAGGCATCTGAAGTCCAAGCTCTGTGCATGGTCTCCAACCACTCCCACAGGGACTAAGGGTGGGGGTAAGAACGTGTAGAAAGGGAGCAGTAGCAGGGGCTGGACTAGGCTAGAGAGATGCGCCCAAAGGACCTTCCCATCAACAATCCCAGGATGGCCAGCACTGGGGATTTGGACTCTTGGTCACGTCACATTTTCCATGCTGGAATTCTCCCCTCTGTCCTAGCTGCCACCCTGGCAGCCAGATTTCCTCCGTCCCAGAGAAAGGCCACTTTTGGTAGCCAGAATCAGATGAAGAAGAGAATAGAAGGGGCATGCTGTGGTTATCTCTGGAGAACAGGTTGCATCAATGGGGGTGCAAACAAGGCCCTCTCTTTCACTCCAGGGGTGAGAAGAGCTGGGAATAGGTACTCCAGGGTCCCATCCCCAGGTGGCCTTGCTGCTGTTGACTTTGCTTGGTTACCCTGGGAGCAGCTCTGAGCAGTGCGCGCGCGTGTGTGTGTGTGGGGGGGGGGTGTGTGTCAGGGTGTTGGACCCAGGCAAGCCGGCTGGAGTGGGATGGCACCCCATCTGTGGCAGGGATCTTGCCAGGAGGCTACAAAGTTAACCCCTCCTGCCCTGGGGGTGGCAGCTGGGTAAAGCAGGAGGGCCCAGCTGTGGTTTGTGAATGTGGCCCTGAACACCCCCCCCCCCCCCGGCACATCTGTACTTGGTTTACAGTGAATGAGTCTCCTGTCCTCCTAAACCGGGCGAAGGCACCACTCCCTCCCGGGGGCCCCTGGCAGGACATCCTGACACAGAACCAGGCGCCACCCCTGTGACGCTCTCCCTGCTGGGTCTCCCCTCTCAACTCTTCCCCTTGTCCTTCTTAGAGGGCTTTAGGGGCTGGTCCCCAGGCCAAGAGCTCTAAGGCTGTGTAGCTGGAGTAGCAGTTGGGCACAGAGAAGCCAAAACGGGGGACAAAAATACTTGGAGTAGCCTGGAAAGAGAGAGCAGGTCTGGAATTCCATCTGTCTTTACTCTCCTCTTTGTTCTGGTTTGTCAGTCTGCTCCTGTCCTTGTCTCTCGTGAGTGTTTGTCCATCCGTCTGTCTTGGTAACTGTGACTCCGCCCTTCTGACAGCCTCCCCCGGTCCCCAGCCAAGGACCGCAGCCAGGGGGCGTGCCCAAGAAGACCCGCCCTGTGATGGTCCCGCCCCCTCTGGATTGTCACGCCTCCGCCCCGCCCTTCCCCAGGACCCAGTGACTGGGATCTGTCTGGTGGCTGCAGCGGTTTGGAAGTCAAACCAAAACCCTAGACAAGACTGGGGAACAAGGAACAGGGGCATTGTGAGGAGTTCAGATTCTTCTGTCTTGCAATGGAGCCAGTTTTCTGTCCAGGGATACCAGGAGGAGGCGTGGAAAGAGGGCCTCTCACTCTGGAAACTGGTGGACACAGCTCCCCTTATTTCTCTTTCTCTTGGTCATCCCTATTTCTAGGCTTTGTTCTGTTTGTGGTGGCTCTACTTGGTCACCCCGGCAACTTAGAGAAATGGTATTTTGAGGACCCTAGAACTGGGTTTCCTTTGCACCCAGAAGGAAGATGGTGAGAAGGAAAGGATCCAGACATCTGTCCCATCTGCCCTGACTTTGCTATATTGCCCCACCCCAAATTTTCACCCTCACCCCCTCCTGACCAACATCAGGACACTGAATAAGTAATTTTCCCATGCCCAATCTGGTGCTGTGGGCGGGGGGGGGGGGGGTAATGTCCTATGCCATGCTCAGAGGTGGCTAGCAGATGTCTGTGGGAAGTTGGGGAAACTGTCATAACCCCCAAGGACATCATTAAGGCATGGAAGTGCCACTGGGGCTTGGAGACCAGGGCGCTCAGGGAGAATGTGATGCAAACATGTTTTGTACAACACATGTCTTCTACTTTCCCTTCCTCCCCTCTTCTTCCACCTCCTTCCCTAAGCCTGATCTGTGCCAGGGCTGGTACCCCCTTGCTCAGTTCCACCCCTTGTACCAGGCCGATTCTGCTGCTTGCCAGTTCCTTGGCTCTCCTGGTGAGTGTGTAAGGGATGGCCCTTACCAGTGCTGCCCAGATCCCACATAGAATAAGGACTTGGTTTTGAAACACAAAATTTTAGAACTAGCCTAAACAACTCTAAAAATTTCTCCCTAAACACTCATTTTTCATTAATTCAACAAATTTTTTTTTTAATCCTCGACCGAGGACATTTTTACATTTAGAGCAGGAGGGAGAAAGAGAGAGAAACATCAATGTGAGAGAGAGACATCGAGTGGCTGCCACCCACACGACCCCAACCAGGCCTGGGGACAAACTGCAACCGAGGTACGTGCCCTTTACCTGGGAACCGAACCCAGGACTCTCCAGTCCATGGGCCAATGCCCATACCTGCTGAGCCAAACTGGCCAGGGCTAATTCAACAAATCTTTATTAAGCATCCTCTGTATGCCAAGCACTGTACTAGGCCCGAGGAATACCCAGGTATGGTCTCTGCCTTTGCAGACCCTTAGTCTTGGGGAAGAGTCAGACGTTAACCAAATAATCCACAAAATCGCAGGTAATAACCAGCATGGAGAGGCATAAGGAACTATGAGAATGGATAGCAAGGGGAGAAAGGAGAAACATCTGTAACAAAAATAAATTAATAAAAAAATTAAAAGAGAGAGAGAATGGATAGCAGCAGGATTTTCCCCCAGCCAAGGAGATGAAGGCTTCTGGCAAAGAGTGAGGGGGAGCGTGGAGAGAAGGGAGGGCTGCAAAAGAGTATATGCAAAGGCCCTGGAATTGGGGTCCTGGCTCCCAGCCACCCTGCTCTCCCAGAAAGAATAGGGACCCTCCATTCCTACTCCCCACCCAGTTTTGGATGTGCTACAAAAGAGGGATGGCCAAAGCACTTCCTAATAACCAAAGCAGGATCTTAGAACACCTTGGTGACCCTGCCCTGGAATCATTCCACCCATTCCTTTATCTCCTTCTTCAGAAAGGGAAACAGAGGCTCCGATGGGGAAGAGGAATCCATGGGCTTAGGCCTGAGATTATACATGGAAAACAAGGCCCCATGTTGTGGGCAAAGCCCTCAGGATGAAGATGCCTCTGTTTGCCCAGCTGGAGTTTCACTGGAGGCTCTTCTGAGCTGTCCTACCATGCCCTCTACCTGCCTCTCCCTCGAGCCCTGACCTGTTCTACTCCTGGAAGGAGGAGCATGTCAGCCTCCACAGTTGCCTGGAGTGTGTATGAGGTGAGTGCTCCAGGTGTCCGCCAGTCATCAAGTGGGTGGGTGTAACAGTCTGTTCTGTACAGAACCTCCACCCAGGGTTAGGGGGGGTCTCTCTCTTCTGTCCACTGTGGGGCTTCCAGGTCCTCCTACCCAGACCCCAAGGTTCCAAGGTTCTTCCTTTCTGAAGAAAAGGAATTGAGGACGAAGCAGGCTTCTTTGTGGCTATGCCTCCATAACTGGCAAAGAGGTCATGGGACCAATGGGGTTAAGTTCCAGCCCTGCTCTGACCCACTTTCCTCCTTGTGCCCATATCCCCTGGGGCCAGGGTGTTGGGTGGGGCCAGTCTGGCACCCCTTCACCCACACCTGGGACTTCCCCTAGATGGAAATTCCCAGATCCTGGTGTCTTACCAACTTTGCCAGCTCCCACCAACTGCCTGGATCTGTTCAGCTTCAATCAGATCTCTCTATCTGCCAGCTTTTGACCAGACTACATCTCCACCTTAGCCCTGAGGGGCCCAAGGATGTGGGCCCACAGTCTGGGACCATCTTTGATGTTTGGCTGCCCCTTTCTTTTTAATTTTTTTTACCTTTATTGATTTTAGAGAGAGGGAGTGAAAGGGAGAGAGAGATAGAAACATCAATGAGAGAGAACATCGATTGGCCGCCTCCTGCATGCCCCTCACTGGGGATTAGGCCCACAACCTGGGCATGTGCCCCCCTCCCCCAATGGGGAATCAAACTGGCAACCTCTTGGTGCATGGGTCAAAGCTCAACCACTGAGCCACACCGGCTGGACTGGCTGCACCTTTCTAGTGGACTCCTTTGAGGAAAAGATGCGATGCTGGAGAGAGGAGGTTGAGAAGCTGTCTTAAATGTTTCAGGCATTGTGCTAGGCATGTATATTACTCACTTAATCCATGCAGCAGTCCAGAGAGTTAGCAGTTATCATATCTATTTCACAGAAGAGGGAGCTGAGAACCAGAGAGGTTAAGTGACTTACCCAATATCACACAATTAGGAAGTGACAGAGCTAAGATGAGAGCCCAGGTCTTAGGGATCCTGTGCTCTCTTCACCACAGCAGGCCTCCTCTTCTGCAGCTGCTGACCTCTGCGTGGGGTGAGAGACTTGGGGGAATTCAACTCAATTCAATTCAGTAAACAGTTATTTAGCATCTGCTATATACCAGGCAATGATAAGTGCCAGAAATGCAGGAAAGGTTGTTGTCCTCAAGGGCGAGTGGGAAAGACAGGTGTATGGACTAAGAATATATAACTTTAACATAATGATTTGAATGAAGTGGCATGGGGCAGAAAAAGAGAAGGTACTTTTATTTTCTTTCTGAAAGAGTACATAAATATATTATGAACATTGTACAGAATAAATTGGAATAAAATAAATACCTATTCAACTGCTACTCAAGAAAGAGTATTTCCTACACCTTAGAAGTTCCCATGTGTTCCTTCCATAATTCCTTCCCTCCCCTAAGAAGTAACCACCATCCTGACTTTTGTGATCATTATTTCCTTGTTTTTCTTTATAGTTTTAGCACCTATGTAGGCATCTCTAAACAATATAGCTCAACTTTGCCTGTTTTTGAGGTTTATATGAATGGAATGGTATTATATTCATTTTTTTGTGTCTTAATTATTTCGTTTGT